TTCTCAATAGAATGTCAGTTTCATCAATAACTTCTGTATCAGTTAATATATTAATACATCAGACTTTATAATTAGAGTTATTAAATATAATTACTGATTTGATATCTAGTGTATATTTGACTTTCTTCTAATATTTCTGCAACTCATCTCTCATAGTGTCTCTTTATACAGAGATAGATGTGATAAGATGTTAAGTGATTTCAGCTGCAGTTATTTGATTTCATAGCATTATCTGTATAAAATTCATAAGATTGTCTGTGATATAATAGATAGATTGATTCAGATCATCATTAAAAGTCAGTATTTCAGAGATAAAAGACAGTGAAGAATTCAAAGAATTGAAATAAACAGATTCTGTAGATAAATATTAACTCTGCTTTTCTTTATTCTAAAGCTTCTTCATCATCTCATTATCAAATTTCATACTCTGATAAAAACTGATCTCAGTCTTATCTTGCAAGTCAGAAGCCTTCTCATAATGAGTGATTATTCTATTAATGAGTTATCTAGTGAAGCATGTGATTCTGAGTCTTGAGCTGAACTCTGAAGTAACAGATATATCACTTATATCAAGATAACTCTGCTTCTTCTAGATATGTAAAAAAAAATAAAAAAAGTGATATTCTTCACAATGAAGAACATGCTTTCTTAAAAAAAATATAAAGTATATAAATCTGCTGATTAGCAGATTCAGAGAAAATGAAATATCTCTAATAAAGAGTGAGAGTCTTTTCAAAAAAGATGAACTATTCATATTAAAAAAATATTGATATAATATTCTAAAAAGAAAAACATATCATTCAGACTATAATCTGTAGAATAGTTAAAGATTGTATTGATAGATCTATCTATAGAAACATAATATAGTCATGAGTTATATAATCTAGTGAAATTGCTAACCGCAACAGCCGTAAGAGTCAATAGATTTCAAGATGTAACTACTCCGTACATTTATCTCAGCAAGCTCAGACACTTCTTCAGATATTTATTACTGTTTTAACACTGAATTAATGATTATATTATGAGCTAACCTCAAATAAGTAATAAGCTAACTCAAATAGTAAAATCAGGTTATATAAGTGATAATATCTTACAAAGTGTCTGAGAAGAAATAATTTCTGATTATTAATAACATAGAAACAATTTACTCAGTACTCTGAGTATGAAAGAGAATTTCAACTTAACTTCATAGATTCATTATTTCTGTATCATCTTAGAATCTTAGAATAATAATATTCTTATAATGTATCTGATTTTTATATTCATATCTCAAGTTCTTAGAATAGAAGTATCATCTTAAAGTTGATCAGTGTGTTTTTGAACACAGGAATTTTGATTCAATTTCTCATATAAAAAAAAGCTCTTAGAAATTCTGAGATTAAAAAATATGATCATTTTCAAGAGTATACATCTATCTTAAATATAGATTTTTTTGAAATATTAAAGAAATATTTCTATTCTTCATCTCTTTAGCTATAAGCTAAGATGATTTTCAAATCTCAAAAATATGTGAGTATATAGTAATAGAAAGTCAAAGTTGAAGAATCTGAAAAATCCTTGTAAATCTCAGGAATCTCCATTGAAGATGGAACCATTTCTTCTCAGATCCTCTGGTGAGGATTGCTCTGAGCACATGACTTGTATCAAAAGTAGGTTAGTGTCATGCCGGATTAGTTAATAATAATGCTGCAACCCGTTCAAACCGAGCCAGAGGGTCTGAGCCCGCTGAGATAACCGTACATAATACAATAATATAGAGGGAACCTTGAGTTCTTACTAAATCACGTCACATTATTATACTTGCTGGAGCTTGTGGCCTGAAGTTAAAAGGACTGGCATGGATTTATGCTGTATGATCCGATTCGTTATAGGCGTAACTAAACATATACAAAATATCCAACACCTCTGTACGCTTTTGAGCGAATATTGATTTGTTTACACAACAATATCACTTCTGAATACTAAAGGACCTAAATTCGAATAAAATGGGCAGATAATTACAATGCGATGATTCTAGAAAAATCGCGGGCTTAGCGCGCGAATTCGATTTTCCTTACACAAGATCGATGGCTAGAATGAAATAGCATATGGAGTTGATTATCGGTGTGATCCTCTTCTATGCCAACTCATCTGTGGGAGAGATTCTTTATTGCAAATACGACAACGGCTAGGATGACGTGGATATTGATCCCGCCAGAGACAGTTAAGAAACACTTCGAACGACTGAAGGCTTGGACCATTTACTTTATCCAATATCGTAACGCTGCGGAGGAGGCAAGTATGGATGGCTCATCCGTCAAGGATGCCCCAAAAATCCATCGGCCACCTGTCGTCAAACACTTCACCTTTCTATCCATTCCCAGCAGGAGTCATTGTACCGCATTTAAAGTATACTCCATCAAAATTTCGCTTGCCTTCGAGGGATGCCCATGCATGGGTGCCTTACTTTTGACGGTGGTGGTGCGGGCCTGTTCCGCTCACCACAATACCTACCATAACTCATTTATTGCTTGTCAAGAGCCTTACACCTTCGTAGAAAAGGGAAGCAATGACCTCGAAATAATAGGTAGTTATTAGATAGTATTTGTCAGGCCACATTTCTTGAATTTCAAAAACTTGCGAGTCCTTTAGCTTTAAATCACCACAGTAAGTGAGAATCCTCTGTTTCTCAGTGGAATCCCCATACTAACAATTCATAAGCAGTGGAGATTCGGTCATGAGTACTACTACCTCAGGTCTATCAGGTTTCTGCAAGAATCCACCCTGCCGACACGCAAATCATGAGCACGCTCAAAGGACTTGTTTAGCACAGGGATGTCGAAAAAAATGGAAACGTTGTCAGATCGAAAATCCGTATAGAATATGCAAGAAGTGCCCTGATCATCCCGCGGTTAAGGAAATGTTGGGCTGGAGTGAAGATTTAGATGAGTTGGGATGAAGGTGTGGTCTAATTAGCTGAAGGTATTGAATTATCTGTTTCCTCTACACTCATATCCTCCGTTTTATACCCCGAGGAGCCAGCTACATCAGAGTCTTCTTCGAACACCTGGAGTAATTCGTCGGTATTAACGTCACACTGATCAGCTTCTGGGCCTCGCATCTCTTTTAGCCACTGAAATATCGCTCGGGTTGGATGGATCCAGGAGTGGAGGTCATTGTTAGCGTTGTTTGATCGTGATTCTGAACGGGAAATCGGTATGTGAATAGAGGAATCAGGATATAGTCCATATGATATCGTATTTTCAGATAAATCCATATCCGTAAATCCTCTATCCTCTATCATCTCTTGAAGCCCTTCCCAAAACCAACTTTTATAGCGAAGATGATGTCCACAGGTTGCGTGACGCTGGACCGCAAAAGTACTTAGATCTAGTTTAGACTCACCCGGTGGCCTCCATGGTGACATTGGGGTTGGTATAAGATGACGTTCTGGTCCTCGTGCTGAAGTGATGAAAAGCAAAAACGCTTCTTCCGCCCGGGGAATCAGTGGTACTACTGATGCCACTTGAGCATTGGGTTCCTCTGAAAATCGGCAAAAGAATGATTGCGCTGTCTGAGTCCACCAGGATAATGATAGATTGGCCCTCCACATTCCAGAACCAGCCAGAATATGAATGAACTTTCTCGACAGAAGGGATGATATTGAAGCCCCCATCCATATGCCTCCAACCGTAGGCGAGCGAGTATACCCAGAAATTGCGGCTCTTTCATTCTCCGCGGGCCACTCGGCTAGGAGTTGGCTCAACCAAGCTCCGGACACATGGCAGTACGTTCCTGGATCATATAAGGCACTCCGTAGAATTGGAGCGATGCCAATGGCGCTGATGGTCATGAAGGAGGGGATATGAGGAAGGAAGCCGGCAAAAAGGGTATCGCCCGATATTCCGTGTCTCTGTTGTGCGATGTGGCGGGGCCTAGGAAGGGCTGCAGGTCTGGCGAATAGGCTGTGCGTCGGCAAGGCTAATGCCGCAAATAATGCCGCGATGCCCTGCAGGCGAAGGCCATAGGCTGCACAATAACGGGAGAGGAAGTTCAGCGCTTCGGCCGCGCTAGGAGGTGATTTGGTTTTCCTTGTTGTAACATACGGTGTCAGAATCGTAAACAGATCTTCGCTGCAAAGCTGGACATTCCATGGCGACAAGTACTCTTTGTCGTCATGTTGGACCGTGGCTCTCCAACCGTTACCATTTGCTAAAACAGCGGCCCACCATTCGGCTTCGATGGCACTACTCTGCATATCCATGAGGCCAGATTCCCTAGGATTCTCGTGGCGATTGATAATGCGAGCTGTGACACCGGTATATGTGAGGCTTCCGTATTGTGATTCTGCCCAAAATGCGGATAATATGAAAGCCCATGCGCATGTGAATGCGGCCAAATGGTTGTCACAAGATTGACAAGTTTGTACTATGTCAGAACTAGAAGAGCTCTGCAACCAAGAAAAACATCCATCCACTGTACATCTTGTTGGAGTTGAAACGCCAAGAAGAAGTTGTTCGGTCGACGTTGCGTCGCCCAAATCACAAGTATTTGATGCAGACTCAATATGCCATATCGCTCTGCCCTTGGCGTACAAGCGATTATGCTCTCCTTTGAATCCTTTTAATGCGGTCTTTGTATAACTTGGAACCTCGCGAAGAAATAGTTGGAATGCTGCTGGGTCAAAACCGCTCCGAGAAGTTGCAAACTGAAAGATAGTACTCCATAGTCTATGACTCCTCTTGAGGGTGAGCTCGGGCTCATCACCACATGGGTAAAACGCAAATAGATCGCATTCCATCGAGGGCCAAAGGAGACAGATGAGGGTTCGTATGTTGTACCAGAGTTACTCTGAGAAGAAAAGTGCATTTGGGCCTCTTTTCCCCAAACCCTCAGACTCAAGTGCTGAACCTGTTAGAGGATAACGTTGTCAATTATAATCTATCTAGGGTGAAACTATATATAACCTTGGAAGTTGGCCGGGGGTAAGTTGGGTGGCACGTGATTAGGGTAGGTGTAATCACCAACACCCCCCCGCGCTGACCTTTCTCAACATAGAGGATTGGAACGAAGAGGCTAGATGATTGTGAGTAAATATGGCATCGTCGCTATCTTCAGGAAAAGTATCAAACTCTTTTCCACCTTCCCTCAGTCCACACTCTACTTATCGTGCTGTCAAATTTCTACCAGAACCCTGCGTTATTCCTATTGAGAGTTCTTGGAATACAAGCGAACTAAATAATACAAACATGGAAAAGCATGTGTACGAGAGCTCTCCCGGCGACCGAGTAACAGATGCCATGCTAGATGAAGCTGCGGAACTCTTTAATAAGAACTACGGTATCTGGGGAAATAATTCACATAATCCAGGTAAGCATGATGCTATGTCCTTGTCGTTCTGTCTGACGTATTCTCAGGAAAACCTGTCAAGCTCAGTGCAAGTCGTCTGCGGAAACAATACCTACCCGATACCGCTACCACGACCTACGTCAAAGTGACCGTGAATGAGAATCTTGCTGGAAACGCATTCGCGTGTCGTTGGAAACATAGTGGAAAGAACATTTGTTGGATTACTCAGTTGGTTGTTGACCGTAACTACCGCGAACGTGGACTCGCGAGCGCCCTGTTGAGATTGATTCGTTTGGATACGGATGATATGTACGGCATCATGAGCTCTCATCCAGCTGCATGCATGGCAGCCGCATCATCTTATGGGAGTAAGCATTATCTTCCCGATGACAAGCAATACTTGATTCTAATTCTAAATAGTGGGTATTGAAAAGGTTTCTTTGAGCTTGATTAAAGGTAACGCCAAAGCAATCATGGAAACTTCACCTATACCTTATATTAAAGATGCAAGGTTGTGTGGCACCCTTTTTGATCCCGAAGATTCAACAGGACTCATCTGCGGGGTCAATACCGGATTCTTCGTTGATCACGAGGAACCGCTGGAGATATTGGAAATGGTTCGTCAAAGCTGGCAGTGGCCACTTGGGGATTTGCCGGATGGCCATGAATATCTCCTTATTTTGTCAGGCAGACATCGCCGATCGAGATCATCATCATCATCCAAATTCAAAGGTAGAGTGACCGAGAATATGTGATTGAACTTAAATTGGAGATAGTTTCGATTTATTCTTGAAATCATGACACTGTTCGAGGGTTGACTTAGTAAAACGGTTGTAGCCCCTTGCTCATCGTCGGATCTTCCGACCACCGCATTGAAGATTGTATCTGATCACATGCATCACGGAATAGATAAGTGCCAACGCCCGGAATCAGAAATTGAACCCGTTTTCTCCTAAGTACCTGCATTGCATTCTGAAAGCTTTCCACGCTCTTGGCAGTGTCTCCAAGCTTGTACCATGCGGCACAGAGGAAAAGATACACCACACCGCAGGTAAAAACTTCTTCCTCTGAGGGATTATAGTATCTATTCCACGTCAAGACATCTTCCCATCGTTTCCGTGCTTCTTCTGGTCCTCGGGAGAGACGCGCAAGCGCGATGAGCACCCTGACGTGCCCAAGCCGATCCACTATGTTCAGTTGCCGTAGGTTGCCATATACGGCTAGCAGCTCTCGGACCAGAAGCGCGGCATCCTCGCTACAGCCCTGTCTGATCCTGATTTCAACAAGGGAAAGGAGCAAGCGCCGGAACCCTCTCGATTTTTGACCGGATAGTGGTTTTGGCCGTTTTAAGTTGCGGTTCCACCATCTCCTCTGCCTCGAAAAGATAGGCGGTCCGGTCGGTTAAGTAGGCAAGCTCGCAGTAAAGATCGGCGAGAGACGATTGAACGAGGTAACGTTTGTATTTGGGCAGCCAAGGAGGCCTAGAGCAAGTTTGGAAGCAGATCTTCGATTCTTCAAATCGTCCCTTCCCGCGCATGATGCGGCCAACACAAAGGATATGGTCCCTGAGAAGGTGCTCCTGCTTCCCCGGAAGGCCCGCAATCTCTGCGTGCGCTTTATCGAATCGGAAACGACATACGTGATTAGTCGCCTATGATAGATACAGAGTTGCGAGGTCCTCTCGTGGTAACAGACCGCTAGGCCCAATATTCAAACCTATCGTGAATAACTTTATTACACGCTCGGAGCCCTCGACATCACCATTGAGTCTCATGATAACGCTCTGTTGGTAGGCGCTTTCCACCTGAAGCCGCAGAAACTGCTTAGCAGAATCAAGGATCCATCGTTGACTGGGTACAATTTTGAATGCTGTCAATAATGACTTAATGAAGTGGATTCGACTGACCATCGGGACATCATCCTGCGCAAAGTAGTTTGCCATGCTCTGTAATAACCCATTCGGATCCGTGTGAACTTCTTGGCCGCGGGAATAAATGTCTTGTGTGGCTGTGAGCCCAAGCGTACCCTGAGCATGCTCGGAAAATTTCCACTGGACACTTCACCCTGTTCTAAAAAGAGGTTTCTCCGGTGCCTAACTCTCCTGTTTTTGATAATATGATTAATCTGCGCCGTCTATGCGATTTCCCGTAACAGGTATGTTTTTGCCGATATGGTCTAAGACAGGATCTACACTGATGCACTTTGGAAGTCACTAGGAACGACATCTCGATTGAACTCGATTGAAGCAAAAGAGAATGAATGATACAGACAGTCAATTAACGGGATTGGAAACCAGGTGGAGAAGTTTCGGACGTATCTTCGCTTATACGATCGGTTAATATTTATGATGGCCCTTGCAACCCAAAAGTTAAATAAATTTCTCCACACCGGTTGACCAAACAACTAGCAAAAGTGTTTTGCCCAGTCAAAGTAGAAATGTGGGTCACCCCCAAATCCAGCGCTTTGCCTCAAAATAGCAGAGTTGAGAGTTGAAATCGCTAGAACTTATTATTGGAAACAGTCCCCAATTTCTTCCGACCATATCGTTACCGTTAGATACGGTCCAATACGCCTCTTATCAAACCTTCTATACGCTATCCTTGGTCCTTAAACCAAATTGGTGATAAAAACGTTCCTCCATGTTTTCTACGTTTCCTTGTCTTTCTCTCGGCTCTAGCGCTTGGATGGTGTTTTGAAGCAACACGTTTCTGAAAGGGAAAGTGGTAGGTACGAGTTCCATTGGGACAAAAGCAAGGATATCATGTAATCAACGTACATTACAATAGAATACAAGAGGCTGCAGAGATAAACTGAGAATAATTGAAAGTTGTTTCTTGATACCAAATGTACTTGGATCATTCTGTCACCATGTCGCCCCTCGCTCATTCTTCATGAACAGCATACCTCCTCCTCACACTAATGGTTTGGACAAGGGACAGTCTAACTCTGGATTCGTTAACACGAGTAAGACCTAATCCCTTTCTCTTTGCTCGTTCAATGCTTTGCTCACTCCAGCTCGATCGTTGACGTTTTTTATTGGCAGCTCATGGTGGAACTTGGTATTCAGAAAGCCTGAATGCGGTTTAGTATGATCAAAGCAACGAAAGTGAGTGACAATAAAGATGCTCTTAAACCAATTTTCAGCTTCAGAATCCGGCTGACTCTCTTGAGCATAGTAGGTAGTTGCGGTACAATTCTTATTTCTTTTGTTCGCGATTTTCCCATTCAATAAGCCGGGACCATGCCTCTCGACATACGGCTTTCAGTTTGTCTCCAGAGGAAGCACCTCGGATAACAAAGAGATCTTTCGACTGGATAAAATTCATACTCTTCGAGCTTATAGAAACCACATGTGTACTGATGCTCGTTCCCCGGGAGTCCTTTGTCACAGAAAGTTCATGTGTGTCGGTCACACGAATATGGTCGGGGGGAACAACAGTTGAATTTTCCATGGATGCGAGCTGTGATAGGTATTTTCGTTTAGCGTCAAGAGCCGCAGCAAAATATCCTCCTAGCAAATGCTAGTAGTCGTGAGATCTGAGTGTCTGGGCTCGTTAACCAAAAGTCTGACCAAGGTGAGTAGCGCTTCTTAGCCGGTTCAGAGTCGTTGGACGTTAGTGTAAGCTGAGAGGGCGGCTCTACAGACTGATATTGGCCGGACCTTGATAGATTAAAGGATGTTTGTGGACTTAAATCAGAGACCTGGTTAGGCACATTTCGGGGAATATCGAAGCTGTGCGGTGTTCATGAAGTGGTCGAATAAACTACCTCTTATGGCTCATATATAGTCGTTTCGCTATCGACTATCTGCGACTTGGGACCTGTTCACACCCCGTATATTTGTCGCTTCGCCATGGTCTTATCGATCCGCACCATTTTAGAGTGGATATCCTTGTTTTAATCTAGGAAGTTTGAACGAAGTTCTTGACCTTTAAAATATTAGCAGTTATTCAAGTGACAATAATGGTGACTAGGTGTGCGAAGAAGTACAGTCGTGCATGATCAACCCTGTAGGCTAACTTACATAGTTGAGCAGATAACTATGTGGGTGAGACTTGGTATTGATGTTTTGAAACATTAAAAACAGGCAGGGTTTTCGCAGAGATTGCTCTTCAAATATCTCCACAATTACAGGTCGGGGACCTTCCACAATCAAGAAGATTGGCGCATAGGGCCAGGTCTCTTCCTATTTCAGTGAGACTTACTGTCTACTCTTATCACATTTTTCAAATGAGATCATGATTTTTACTTCTCAATTTAAATTATTTTTATTGCTTTAAATGACTTTAAATCTCATTTGAGTATTATCAAAAAGTGTTACTTTTTAAAAAATTAAAAATAGTAACTTTATGTCAAGAATGAGACTAAATGAAATCAAATAAGATTGTTTTCTCATTTTTTTCAAGTCATGATTTCATTTTAAGATCTTATATATAGTTACTTTACATGTTTTTTTAATGACTAGTTTCAGTGAGATTTACATCAAGAAATGTATGAGATCAGATTAAATGAAATTAAATATGAAATTTATAATCTTAGCAGTCAGTCTAATTCAGTGAATCTGATAGTTAAAATCTATAAATTATTGAAGTTAAAATAAATTCTGTTGAGATAGATGTATTATTAATAACAATAAAAACAGTACTAGAAAATAAATTTTAAGACTTGTAAAAGTTTAAGTATGAATAAGAGAATATCTTCTTAATCATTTGAAATAAATTGTTTTTAGCATTTATAACTATTACAAGATAAGTAGCTCTGTAATTTCAGATTCTATAATTTTCAATAATATGTACTTCATCAAAGTTAGCACTTATATTATAAGCTCTAGATGTAATATTCTGTGTACAATTTTCTATTACAGCTGAATAAGTATTAATATCAATAGTAATATTTTATATACAATTCACTATTACAGCTGAATAAGAATTAATATTAATATTAGAATCTACTGACTCTGATGTAAATTCAGATGTTAAATTTAATATACGAAATTTAACATAAGAATATCTAGATATTTAATTTTTTATATTAGATAGTTAGCAGAGATTGCAAAGCTCAGTGATAAGTAGACTGATTAATAAGACTATGAATTTCATATTTAATCTCATTTAATCTGATCTTATATATTTCTTAGTATGAATCTCACTGAGACTAATTATTAAAAAAACAGCAAAGTGACTATTTATCAGATCTCAAAATGAGACTATAACTTAGAAAAAATAAGAAAGTAATTTTATTTGATTTTATTTAGTCTCATTCTTAATATAAAGTTACTATTTTTGAACATTTTAAGGTTTTTTTAGACTGTCTTTAATTTTTTAAAAAGTAATGATTTTTGATAATGCTTAAATGAGATTTAAAGTCATTTAAAGCAATAAAATAAATTTAAATTAAGAAGTAAAAATCATGATCTTATTTGAAAAATGTGATAAGAGTAGATAGTAAGTTTCACTGAAATAGTATAAGACTACTATCTAATCTTAAAACTGTGTAATGAAATTAATTAAATTAGTAATAAGATTATTAAATATTCTGATTCTGATCTTGAACACAGTTATATAGTCTGTCTAGTGATAAGCTTATCTGCGGTATTTTCTAAATAAAAGATGTTTTCTAGATAAGTAATTTAAACGCCAGTTGCATTATTTACAAGCTTTTAAATAGCGATTTTTAAAGAATGTCTTAATCTCTTATATTATATAGACTGAGAAGTAATAGAGATCTTAAGTTTTTAAGAAGATTTTATACATATTAACAGATTAGAAGAAGAATTTGTAGAAGTTAAAGAATTTAAAGATATTAATTTTTCAGATATAATAATATTAGTAGTATGAGTTATAATAGCTGCAGCAGCTTCAGTAGTAGTTTTTTCTGATATAGTTGAATAAACAGCTATTTTACTATTATATTCTGTAACTAGCAATCTCTCAAATACTTTAATACATGTAAAGATAATATTATCTATGCATTTTTATAATCTGAAGTCTTTTTTATTATAATAGATGTCTTCTATATAAAAATACAGTTTTCATGCAATGATATTTGTATAAAAATTCAGAATGTAAGCTATGTTAATAAGATTGATATTAAACTGCTTTTCTACTTCATTTATTATGATAGTTCTAACAGTTTCATAATCATTAACTTTAGTGCTGAAATCGTCTGTATAGACTTCTATGTTCACAGGTGTAAAGAATAGAAAATGTATTCAATTATTATATATATACTGTTTTATATCAGTATCAAAGATTCAGAAGTTTCAGAGATAGAAGTGAGAATTTAAAGAGTTTATTAATATTTTTCAGATCTGCTAATCAATAGATTAATAATTAACAGATTAAGAATTAATAGATTGAGAATCTGATTACTTCAGAATTATTTCTTTTAGAATTACTTCATCTATTATATCTATATTCATGAATAAATCTCTGAATATTATATAATTAATATATTTCTTCAATTCTTGATTCTTAAGAGTCTAATTAATATAAGTTCTTTTCTTTTCATTTTTCTTTCATTCAGATAACTTTCTTAATGAATTAAAATAGTAGTACTATCAGTGACAGGCTCTGCAGATACAGTTTTCAAATATCACTAGTAATGAGAATTACTGAGATCTTTTATAAAGAGTAGTAAAGTTCATAGATTTATCTTCTTTAAGAATACTCATTTCTCTATACTATTTCTTAAAGTTTTTAACTAACTCTATCAAAGATATGATATCTTTATTATATCAGATATTCTTAGCTTATACTTGTATATAATCTGTATTAATAGCTAGATTTACATTTAAGAAATCTTTCTTTAATTTAAACTATTTAGTTATATCTGTCTCTTTGATATTATCTTTAATAAGAGATCAGTCATTTAATCACTTCTCTATATCTCTGTTTTTCAGTGCTTTACAGAAATTATAATATCAGATTCTTATATTATTCTGATAGTTTATAGTTATGAAGAAGAGTTAATCTCTTAATAAATAGATAATTGCAGCATATATCACCTGTAGTGTATGCCAATCACGTATCGTACATGTAAAAAGGTAAATCTTGTCTTATTCTTCAAGATAGAGATGGGCGGACGCCTCTATATATATATATATACATGCTTGTTTGTTTATTGTGATTGACTTTTACAGAAGGAAGAAGCGGAAGTCTCAGAAAGAAAGAGATAGAAGTCTCAGAAAGAAAGAGACAGAAGCTTCAGAAAGAGACAGAAGCTTTAAGAAGTATAAGATAAAGAAATAAGAATAGAGCAGAAGAAGAAAGAAGCAGAAGTCTCAGAAAGAAAGAAGCAGAAGCTCTGAGAAGTAGTAAGAATGAATGTCACAGTTTCTTTGTCTGAAAAGAGACGGACGCCTGAAAATGAGATAATAGAAAAAAAAAGCTAAATCTAACTCATTTTTCAGATGCAGGTTAATATTCTCCTTGTGTGAGAAGTGAGTAAAGAAAGGAATTGAAACAATGAGACAATAATGACACAATGATAAAGAGTCTGAGATAACAAGGTAATAGATATCATAGAGAATCTTTGTCTTTCACAGATATTATACAGATACAATAAGATAATAATGAAACAATGACTATAAATGAGATAAAGAGTCTGAGACAACAAGGTGATAGAAATCATAAGAATGAATAAATAGATGAAAGATGAAGAACTGTAAAATTCAGAGTGAATGCAGATAAAAGAGAATAAGAGAATTAAAAATGATAAAGAAACAGATCTTCTGTCAGAAGACTGAGAGTGATGTGAGTGAATAATTCACAAGTATATAATATAATCAGTTATCTCTCTCTTCTTATTTTTCTTTTCTCTTTCTTATTATCTTTTCATCATCATTCTCATTATTATAAAAAATTTTCATTGAAATCTAGAGAACTTGTGACAATGAGTTCAAGAAAGATATTCAGAACATCAGATGTAAGAGAAGCAATTAATCAGATTGATTATCTCAACAGAGATAGCATAAGAAGAATATTAAAAAGGTTATTTCAGTCATTGAGTTAGAAAGAGTGTAATACTCTTCTTGAGACTGCAGAGAAGATAAATGAAATTGAAGAGTTAGAATCTCATTCTTCAATATCTAAGATAGTTTCAAGAAGTAATGAGAAAAAGACAGTTGCATTTTATTATCAGTCAGCTAGATTACATGATCAGAAAGCTGTGAATAAGTCAGTGAAGAAATCTGAGAGTGAAAGATCAAAAGATTCAGATATGACTACAGAGAAGTTTAAATGAAAGTTTATTACATTATTCATTAAGCTGAAGAAGTCATGATCTTCAAATATATATAAGTTCTCTGATGAAGATACAGATGCAGAGACAGTGACTGAAGATAAGATAAAGTCAGTAGCTTAGATAGAAGTGAAAGTGAAGTCAGCAGCAGAAGATATTTATAAGAAGAAAGATAAAGAGAAACTGAAGCTGACTGAAGCAGATAAACAGTAATGAAGAGATAGTCAGAAGCAATGTAGTATATTAGAGAATAATATATCAGAGAGAATGAGATAGAAGAGAGTTATTGAAAATGATCAGATATCTTAACTGTGAGATATAACTTATATACACTGTCTGCATTATGATGATAAAACCAATCTATGCTTTTAAAAGAATGAAAAGCCAGTCTGACTGAGTGTATTAATAATGTAAAATTCAACTGTAGAAGAACTTGTGAATACTATGTCAATTATTAAAAGACTCACAGAACATAGTGAGAAAATGTTATTTATAAACTGTAAATTTTTTATTCTGCTCAGTCAGTGATTAATTAAGCAGCTGAGACAAATACTCACACAATAAAAGTTACAGTGATGAATGATAAATGATGACTTAATTACTCTGAGAACAGTCAATTTCAAAGATTCAGTCAATCAGAATGTTATTATTCTTCAAACTCATAGAAAAGTAGCTTTCACATCTTGTCAGTCTTGTACAGTAAGTCACAGATGATTCAAAGAGTATAAAATTACTTCTTCAGATAATAACTGAACTTAGCAGAAGTATGATACTTACATTAACTATCAGTGAGATAATAAAAGTG